TGACATAACAATTCTCCTGACAGAGTCTGGAATCAGCAAAAAGCAAAACACACACACACACACACACACACACACACACACACACACACACACACACACACAAAACCAACCCAGAATTCTATGCTTTTCTGTCTCTATTAGAGAAGGACAGAGTGACAAGCTACCATCTCCCACTTCAGCTTCTAAATTCTTTGTATGTTTTGGAATGTTCAAGCCCGAGCATGAAGCACCAGACCCTACTGGGCTCCTCTGGGAAGCAGACACTATCCTCCCCCTTCCTTCTGATGGGTGTTGGGCTTTTACCCAGACCCTTTTTCCCAAGCCTTCAGCATCCCATGCTCCAGGTAGGCCAGGAAACCCACTTGCTCCTCAGCCCTCCCATCTCCAGGACAGAATTCAACTTCTCCTCACCCTGCTATCCCAGCACCTTGGGTCAGCTGGCCTGGATTGGGTACTTGGCCCTCTATGGCCACAATAAATGTTTACTTGTCTGTCTGCCCAGAGAGAAACATGGCATGCGGCAGCAGAGAAAGTTCTCTGCAAAACAGGGAGAATGAGTAGTACACAGGGACAGGGCAGACAATTGCCCTTGTGTGGAGGACCCTAGAGCAGACATACACCCATGCTGGGTCATGGGTCACCTGTCAGGACAGGAGACCTCACTGGAGGTGTGCCCTAAGAAGGAGTATGCACTCATTAATGGCCCCCAGGAGTAATGTCCTGTCCATACTGACAGCCTCTTGCCAACTGGGTCTAGTTACCATGCATCATTTGTCCACACCTGAGGACTGATTTGGCCATCTCAGTGCATAGCTGGCCTTTCCCTGGTCCCCATAAGCGAGCTGCTCCATTCCAGTCCCCTCCTCATGAATGTTTCCTCTTCTGGAGAAAAAAAAATCACTTGATCAACACCCCAAATTACACCTTCTCCAGCACATAGCCTTTCACCGAATAGTCAGGTAGGTTCTTCTCTGCCCTTTCCCGAGTGGTAAGCCTCCTTCCAGGTAGAGTAACTGGCCACCAAGTTTTCTCCCATCTCCAGAAAAACAGGTTTGCTTGGCAGTGCCCAGAGGGTGTTTTGTATTGTCACAACCTAATGTTGACACTAGGTAAATCAGCTGCCCTCTCCATGCCGCCCCATGCACTGGCCACCTTGCCCGCCCTTCTCCTGCCTGCCTCGAGGCCAACAAGAAATGAGCCAGGAATGTATTTGCTGATACCGTTCCCCCAAGGCTTGGCTTCAGCTAACCAAGTGTAGGACAAAGGAAGCAGCCACACACATCCAGTCCAGGCCCACTGCTGGCTTCCTGGTGGCCACTACCAACAAAAGCCGGGCATCGTTCAGAACTTCCTTGAAACAGTTTCTGAATTGTTCTAGGCAGACAGCAAAACAGTGACTCTCTCGTGGGATCCACTCCGTCAGCCGCCGGGGAAGCAAGAGCCATCAATTGTCCATGAATGCAACTGACTCACTAAAAACAGGATGCTTTCCAGGGAGAGGAGGAAATACTGTCTGTGGCAGGGACAGCTTGAAGTCTCACAGGCCAATATGTCCTTCCAGCTATCCCCTCCCTGCCACTAAGACAGAGGTGATGGGAAGAGAGCATAAGACAGGATGGCTAGCTGTACTGTTTCTCTTCTTTCAAAACAAAACAGGGTCTCCTGTATTCCAGGAGACCTCCAACTTAATATGCAGCCAAGAATGAATGAACCTGAACTCTGCCCCTCCTGTTTCTTCCCAAGTGCTAGCCTAGCATAGCTGATGGTGGTGCACACCTTTAACCCCAGCACTCAGGAGGCAGGGGCAGGCAGATCTCTGTATGTTCAAGGCCAGCCTGGTGTACAGAGTGAGTTCCAGGATGCTAGCATTACAGATGTTCACTGTTATCCCAGCTTTATTCAGTGTTGGGAGTTGAACTCCCAGTGTATTATCCAGCCACTCTACCAACTGAGGTACATCTCCAGTCCAGAGTGTCTGGTTTCTTTGTTTTCAATGACTCCAGCAGAAATTTCATTTACTGTATGTCAACCTCCCTACAGTTGGCCTGCAGCCAACCCCTCCATTCAAAGTTACTTATTCCAAGTGTCCAGGCTATGACAGGCACCAGGAACTTACCATTTGATGTTCCTTGTTTCACAGAGCCTGCAGGCTACCATAAGTCAGGACACAAATATATTAATTAGGTCATTTTAGCCAGCCAAGGGTTTAGGACAGAGCAACTAACCAGTGAGATGACAGGAAGGGTAGGCATGGAGGCTTCTCAGAGTAGGTGTCAAAAATGGAGATCCAGCTAGACACCCACAGGGACTGATGATCTCTTATAAACCTCCCAGTGGTTGGGCAGTGGTGGAGGAGTATGCCTTTAGTGCTAGCACTTGGAAGGCAGAGGCAGGTGTATCTCTGTGTTACTTAAAACACACAAAGCTCAGGGTCCCAGCCCCAGGACTATAAACAAAACAAAAGGAAACTTTCAATACTAACTAGGGGGCAGCTTAGAATATTAGTTAAATGAGCTTGTCACCAAGTTGGAAAATGACACTCTGCATTTCCAAGTTTGGGCTGGAAGCCAGCATCCTCTGGCAAGGTACACATTTTGAGTGAAGAAAAATAAGAAATAATGGTGCCATAGGTCCATAACCCCAGCATCTCAAAGATAGCCTGAACTATAAAGTGTGGGACTCTGTCTCCAAAATATAAAAAAGCAAAACCAAAGACAAGCTTTAAAACCTAACTGGAGAAACAACAACCAAAGTCAGCATCAGCCCTGTGCCCTTGAAGCTCAGAAGGTGAAGGTGCTGTGGTTAGGTGTGGCCTGAGGGTCCCCGAAGCCTGTAGTGTTGAAATTAATCCCCCACTCGACCTCACTGTGGTATTTAGAGGTGGCAGGTGACTAAAATGAGACAAGGTTGTGAATGTACATCAGCACCTTTATAAGGAAACCTAGAAATGTCACATATACAGACACAATGTGTGTCTGCTGCCAGCAAGACAGCCATTAGCTAATGTGACTCCTCAACCCCACATGAACCCAGAATATGAGTCAAAACAAATTTCATTTCTTTATAATTCTGACTCCATCTGAGGCATTGTGTTATTAGCAACAGAAAACAGACTAAGGGTCAACACTCAAGAGACAGAGACTAGAGGATCAAAAATGCAAGGCTAGCCTCTACTACACAGTGAGCCTTAATTAAGCTTTAATTAAGCCTTAATTAAGAAAGATGTTCGATAGTGGCACACACTTTTAATCTCAGCACTTGGGGGAGGCAGAGGTAGCTGGATCTCTGTGAGTTTGAGGCCAGTCTGGTTGGTCTACAGAACTAGTTCCAGGGCAGCCAAGGCTACACAAAGAAACCCTGTCTAGAAAAATAAAAAATAAATAAGGGGTTCAGTTAGTGGGGCTGGCCTAGTATGCACAGAACCCTGAGTTCCACCCCTAGCTCCAAATAAACTAAACACACCTGGAATCCTAGGATTCAAGAGGTGAGGGTAAGAGGACCAGGTGTTCAAGACCATCCTTGGCTACACAATGAGTTCATGAGACACTGACTTGAAAGAAACAAAAAAGAATGCCTCAAACCTGGATAATAGAGGGAGAAAAATAGAGAAGTAGGGAAAAGTGAGAAGGAGGGAAGGAGCACAATGGAGGCCGTAAGTACACACCTGCCCCATGAAGGACGCTACATCTGAAACCGGCCCACTGCCCCAGATGACCCTTCAGTGGATACTTGTAAAACAGCAACAATAAACATACAGAAAGCATACCGGAAGGCCTCCTCCAAAACATGCCCAAATGGAGTGGAAATCAAGGTGGCAGCAGCATTACTGAGTAGCTCAGCAACCTCTTGGGTGGGGTTCCCTCCCACCAGGCTAGATGGGAATTCATTTAACAAACTCAACAAACTGAGGTGCAGAATGATGGAGGAGCCTGTAGAAAGCCACATAGCCAGGAAGTTACTGGTGGGACACAAACCTCAGTTTCTCTATCTGAAATGAGACCTCCTGCTTCCCAGAGATTAGGTGATTCTTCAGCCTAGAGCAAGGTTCACTGCCCTCTTCCCAAAATAGGAATGAGACTGGCCTTCTAGGAAGCTGCAGCTGGCTCCAGGCCACAGTAACAGTGTTTCGAACCACAGTGACAACAACAACAAACAACAACACCTTGCATAATGACCCAGTGCACTTCACAGCAGCAATTAACAATTTGCAAAGCTACATGTATCTACAAGACCACAAGACTGGAGAGGACAGCAAAAGTGATACAAGCGCTGAACCCCCAGTGCTGGTTGTGGCTTGTGACCCAGGCAAGTGCAGGGAGGACGACCTTCCTTAAAACCCCCCACTACCACCTCCCAATGTACGGAGCAAGGCAGGAGCCTCTGCGGTATCCAGCCCGCCAAGCCCCTGTGCCTGGGCGTGGGCAGGTGGCGGGGAGCTTCGGGGAAATGCTGGTTTTCACTGATGGAGTAGCCTAGGAAGACCCTTCTGTCTCCCCCTCGAAGACATGCGTCCACGGGTCCCAGCAGCGGCAGATGAGAAACCTGAATTCTGTCGGGGACAGGTGTGAACCAACAGGTCGCCGTTGGGACGGTGTGAATCACAAGATCCCCGAGGGAGAGACAGATGCGAACTCCCAGGTCCTCGCAAGGACAGGTGCCGACGCCATCTTTCGCCTGAGGCCCGGGCTGAGCCTGGCCGCCCTACACTGGCAGTGCCGCGCCCAGATCGTGGCCGCAAAGTGCAGAGTCCCGATTCGCTCCCCCTAAGGTTTCGACATCAAGGGAGCAACAACGGCGATGGGCACTTGCTCACCATGTTCTAGAGCTGAGATGCAGGGACCCACCCCATTGCACCGACGTGCCGCGAGGCACGCGGATGCGGCTAGCACTCTCTGTGGTGGCAGCCAGGAAAGGGACATTTCGGAGCCGGGGCCATCGAGAGACCTGGACACCGGTCCCCAACCTTCCAGCCGCTTAGCCTGGGGCTGCCCAGCGCTTACCTGCCCCGCTGTGCTGGCGTAGCGGCGGGCGAGCTGCCCGAACACCTCTCAGTCCGGACCGCGGTGGCAGAGTCGGGGGCGCCGGCCGGAGGCGGGTTAATGTGAGCGGCGGGCTGGGCCCTGATAGGTGGCCATGCCCGCCCCGCCCCCCTTCCCTCCCGACCTGACTCGGGATTCCCAACCCGACCAAATGGCTTACAGAACCACTGTAAAAGCACCGTTAGCTTGCCGACGCCCCTCCGGCGCCTACGGACCTGCCACGATGTCCAAGCCAGATCGTTTGCGAGCGCGCGCTCAGTCCCGGAATATCCACATACATTGCCGCTGGCCAGGTCTGCTTGTACCATCCAAGCCCTAGCAAGGGCTGCCTGCTTGGTCTTCACAGTACTCCTAGGGACTCGGTGTTTTTTACCCTGATCTCTTACCCAAGTAGAAACCGAGGCTCATAACAGATGACAGCTTGATTGATAAACAAGTGTGAAGCCAGTCTTTACAACTCTGAGCTCTTTAGGTTGCAATTCGCCTAGCCCTCCTGTGAAGGTTTAGGGTGAAGGGGGATCACTGGGAGGAGAACTCTAGAATTACAGACAGGTGGGAGGAGTTGAGTCTTCAGTTCCCTAGATCCGGAGTGCCAAGGTGTGTTGACCCAATTACAAAGTAACCATTATCTAGACAACAACAAAGCTTGTTTACCCTGGGTCAGCTCTTCTGGGGTAGCAGAGGTCAGGGTCTGTGGCAGGTGCTTCCTACTGGGTGGTTCACAAAACTCTTCTCTTTCCTCTCAGGAGAGAAGTGATACTTGGGGCCCCCTAAATGTTCTTCTGACATGGGACAACAGCCCCCACCATATTTAGAGGGTCCCAAGCAGACTTTAATCTCAGAGGCTTTCTTAATCTGCCACTCTGACCCTTTCAGGTCTGTCGTTCTTCCATCACCTCCAAACTCAGAAATGAATTTAACCCTGACCTTTGCTCACAGTCACCAGGGATTGCCACAGCCTGGAGTATGTGTGTGTGGGGGGGTCATTTTACAGATGAGCAGACTGAGACCCTGAGAAGGAACTGACAAGAGGTCTTACATGCCACAAAGGCCTGATAATGTTTGAAAATGAGTGCAAGGGCATCTGGAGGCACAATGCCAGGCACATAGTAAGTGTTCTGTAAACATTAGCAGAGGAGATGGAGAAAGGAGACCAGTTTGAAGTTAGATGGGGACTTAAGGGCTCGGGGGAGGGTTGAGTGAAAATATTTAGAACATATTTAGCCTGCAAGATCTGCAAGACAACATACTGGTCAAACAGAGAGGGTAGGCAGATGCACTGGCTCATCCCTGCACACTCTGCCACTGGGCAGGCTGGGAAGTTGGGTAGGTTCTGAACAATACAATGAGAAACCATTTCTTAAGTTAGAAAGAAAAGCTGGCTGTGTTGATATGCACCTGTAATCCCAGGACTTGGAAAGTGGAAGCAGAAGGGTCAAGGAGTTCAAGACCATCCTCAGTTATATGGTGAGTTCCCAGGTCAGCCTGGATACATGAAACCCTGTCTAAAATGAATTTTAAAAAGAAAAGGAAACAAATGAAGGAAAATGAGGCAAAACTTCTTAAGAGTGTAGCTCCCAGCACTCAGGAAGCAGAGGCAGGTGGATATCTTTGAGTTCCAGGCCAGCCTGAACTACAGAGCAAGTCCCTGGAAAGCAAGGGCTACATAGAGAAACCCTGTCTCAAAAAAATGTAGGAGGGGGAAAGAATGTGGCTCCCTGTTAGTGCCCCAGAGGCCCTGGGTTATCTGCAAGAAATAGTAAAAGTGATAATAATGGAGGCTGCCACAGGGTTCAGCACTTCCCGGGAGACAGAGGCAGGCAGATCTACAGAGCAAGTTCCAGGACAGACTCCAAAGCTACAGAGAAGCCCTGTCTTGAGGGGGGAAAAGTCAGTGCTTTTCCAATGAGTTTTGGCCTTGAGCTGACTTTGGATCCTTTGATTAACAAATGCTGGTAGTGTGTCTAGTGCAGTGGCACCTGCAATCCACATTTTACGAATTGAGACAGAAGGATTGAGAGTTTCAGGCTAGCCTGGGCTACATAGTGAGACCCTGCCTCAAAAAACAACTACAACAACAAAAATAGGTGTTGGGTTGGTAGAGTGCTGTCATAACATGCCTTTTACTGGACCTGCCATTCACCAATAGGGCTAGACTGGTTAGCCAGCCATGCCCAGGGATCCCTCTGTCTCTGTGTTCCCAACACTGGGATCGAGCCAGCATTAACACACCCAGATCTTTAGATAGATGCTGGGATTGAACCCAGCAACGTCTTTTCCAACTGAGCTGTCTCCCTAGACCTGTGGTTGCTCTTACATGAAACTTGTAGCAAGGCAAAGCTCATCTATGGACAGAGGGGAAAATAACAGAGACAGGAATTGGTGATAAGAGGGTACAAGAGCACTTCTTTGGTGACATAGGTGAGGCTGTTCTACACACGCACAGCCCGCCATGCACTGCATCAAACGTTTATCATTGTACGTGTTTTTGTAGGAAAATGAAAAGCCAATACTCAATAGAAGCCAAGCCCACAAAGGACAACAGATCATACTCAATATGTTAAAAGATGAGGATTTTCCACCAAGATCCAGATTGATAGCTGCCAGGGAGACTCAGCCAGCTGAGTTCATGGTGGTCCTGGCAAGGTTAGATTCACTGATGACAAAAAGAACATCACAACTGAAAACAGTCCCAGCAGAATAGGCACTGTGGCTTGTTCAGCCATGGCTACTTAATAGCAATTTAATATAGATATGCATCAGGCCAAAAGCCAGTGGCTGGAGTGACCGAAATAACCTGTTTTGGCGTGCATGGCCTGTCGGGGGATGGAGAACAGGCCTCTGCTCTGTCAGACAATTCCAGGAATCCAGGGTCCTGTGATAGCTGGCCCAGCAGCATTGTGGAGGCCTTGAGCAATAGGCTGTGGATGCCCCCTGGTTATCATTCAAGTCAGGTCTGGTAGGAGGCAATGTACCCATATGGTGCAGACAGGAAGGAGCCCCAGCACTGCGGAATCTCCTCCCATCCAGAAATAACATCCTTTGACAGGCAGCTTATCGACGTGATAGCAGGTTTTCTCAAAACAATTACAGCCCCAGAAATTCACCATGCACCTTCAGAAAGCATGGGGAGTAAGGGCTGTCCACATTTTTGCACTCAGGGCACCCCTGAAACAGGCCTCTTCTGGACAAGCTCCCCTCCCCTCTGCCTAGTCAGGCAGGGCCTGAGAATATGTTTGCTTTCCAGCATTCACAAAAGCCCTAGGCAGAGATCTATCTCATAATGAGAGACTTTCTCCCATCCTCCCAGCCCTGCTATCCCTGTGTCATGGAGGAAGACCAGATCAGGCAGGTCACCCACAAGGGCTCACAGGAGGCAGGAACCAGCTTGTCATCCCTAGGCCATGGGCCTCCCTTTCTCAGCCTTTCTCGGTTGCTGCTTCTCCTGCATCAAAGAACGAAGACCAAGAGGAATGGAAACATTTCTGGACTTTCCATCTCACATGGAAATCATCTATTTGTCTTTTAAGTTCTGGCAAGTGTGTCTTTTCAAACTCTGGGGAAGTTTATATGTTACTGTGTTCCCCAGAATTTTGAAAGAAATGTAGATAGAGCATTATTATATATTTTGAGTGTGTGCATATGTGCAGGCCAGTGTGCATACAAATCAGAGTGGGATTTCACATGTCCTGTTCAATCACTCTGCCTTATTCCTTTGAATCAAGGACTCTCACAGAACCAGGGACTAGGCTAGTGACCAGCAAGCCCCAGAAATGCTCCTGTCTCCACTCACCACAGCACTAGGGCTACAGGTGCATGGGTAACTGTGTCCAACTCTCCATATGGCACTGGGATCTAAACTTGGGCCCTCATCCCTGCACAGCAAGCATTCTTTCCCACTGAGCCGTCTCCCCAGTCCAAAGCAATGTAAATAAGGCAGGAGTGGTGCCAGCCAGTGTGGATGACACAGGATGGGCAAGGCAGGGCACAGCCACAGCCTGTTCTCTAAGAGGATGCGGGTGCCACCTTTAGTTTGGGTATTCAGAGATCATCTGAAACATTTGGAATGTTTGTGTGTGTGTGTGTGTGTGTGTGTGTGTGTGTGTGTGTGTGTATGTGTGTGTGTGTGTTTTGTTTGTTTTTTGAGACAGGATTTCTCTGTGTAGCTCTGGCTCTCCTGGAACTCACTCTGTAGACCAAGCTGGTCCCAAACTCTGCCTGTCTCTGCCCACTTAAGGGGCAAAAGTTGCTCACAATTACAGAGGGACAGAGTTGGGTGGGGGCACAGGGACATGGCAGCAGGCAGGGAAGGCAAGGTGGCAAGAGCAGGAAGACGGCTCCTCCTGCATCTGCACTCAGGAAGAGACTACAATGAAGACTGTTTTGCTATCCAGCTCCCATTCTCTATTTATACAGCCCAGGACCCCTGCTTGGGAGTGATGCCACCCCCCATAGATCTACTTAAGATAATGCCTCAGGGGCGTGCCCAGGGACCCATCTTCCAGGTGATTGTCAATTCTGTAAAACTGACATTTAATACTATCAGACTAGACATTTCAGGTCAGGACATGGAAAGAAGTCATGTGAGCAAGGATAAGAATGTTAGAACTCCCAAGTGTGGGCAGGCACTCCTCAGGAAATGCTAATCTCAAACTTGGAGAGTAGATGAAGCAGTTAGAACTGCTGCTCTTGCAGAGGCTCTGAGTTTGGTTCTCACCACCTGGTTCCCAACTACCTATAGTTCCAATTTCAGGGAATCTGGTGCTCTTTTCTGGCCTCTGAGAATACATTCACACACATACACACACATACACACACGAGAACACACACGCATGCACATGCACACACAGGCACACACACACACACACACACACACACACGCGCGCGCGCGGGGGGCAGGGAAGTGTTCCAAGACAGGGTTTCTCTGTGTAGCCTTGGCTGTCCTGGAACTCACTCTGTTACCAGAGAGATCTGTGTGCCTCTTCGTCCTGAGTGCTGACATTGAAGGTATGCACCACCTCCCTGCTGGAATATATGTTTTAA